TTTGATAAATTTCTACGCCTGATGAATGCATTCGTGATTTCTGCGGCTTTACTTCCTTTAGCTGACTATACACTGGGAATTTTTTTACAGCAGAAGCTGTCGGTTTTGAGCAGAACTGCGTCAGCTAGTCAGTTGCCTGTTAACAGCGTTCTGAAGCACACACAAAAAATCGGAAATCTAACATTTTCTTTAGTCATGTATTCTTTTTGTCTTCTCGTTTTAGTTGCAAGAAAACATGAAGCCATGGTTCCTCTTGTAAAGGAGATGTCCGCCCTACGAGGTCACGTGATCATGCCGCTGCACACGAACAGTGAACTGGACTGTGCCTTAATGTGTCTGAACACAAGAACCTGTTTCAGTTTTAACTACAAGACGAACAAAAAACTCTGCGAACTGAATCATACAAACAAGTTTACATCTCCTGGTGACTTTATCTGGGATCTTGATTCCACATATTATGAAATGGTTTTCACTTAAAACGAAACGCTGTACTTCAAGGAGCTCAGTCACAGCACTTTGAGTTATTTTGGCCACGTAAAAAGTTACCCTTAAATTTAAAGAAACCTGAAATTTGTAGTTTACCAAGCTAGAAAAACACCAGAAAGATAATAATAAACCATAAAGCAACAAGGATGTGTAAGGATGGAGAAGATTAACGCGGATTAAAAAAGACTGACAAACTTGAAATTTTAGGCCAAGTTTTCAAGATGCGCAGACCGTGACGTAACTCCTCTAAACCTTTGGCGTCGTCATTCCGGACCAGTGGCTAAATGTTATGAACAAGAACTATAACTCTTGTTACTTACACTGTAACACCAAATCCCGATCCACAAGCTGTATGCTACCATTGGTGCAAGCGTGGAAAGTTAGGTTAATCAACTGGCCTTGCGTTGATGTTCTGATTATTTGAAAAAAATCAAGTATGCTATGATAATAAATCGCGAGAACGTGCTTTAAAAAGGTTAAACTGCTTATTGAAGTTGTCTTTCAGCTCACTGAGTTAATAAAACCCTATCATGTTACAGTTGAGACCAAAACGAATTTGAGTTCGAAACGTCCTTCTACGTATAATCCATCAAACACGAGAGAGACTGTTTCATCACATTTTAAAACACCAAGAAGAGAGTTGTAAATAGAGACTTTTAGATGCACGTTTACTGCAAACGGCGAGCGGTCACGTGATAAGAGCTATACGTCACGTTTGAGGTTTTCGACTAGCTTTTCACGTAAGTCATTTATCCCAGGCTTTATTGCCTTGAATATTATTTTATGCCACGTGCAAACGCTGAAATCGAGTAAAATAACCCTTTTTCTACGAAACAGATAACTTTTTCAGGCAAATCAGCGACTACCTAGCC